CCCCCCCCCCTTCCACTCTCTCTGAAAACAATGGAAAAAAATATCCTCAGGTGAGGATTTAAAAAAACAACAACAAAGTCCCAGCTAACCTCCTAGCAGAAATTGAAAAGCTGATCCTGAAGAGTAGCAAAGCCAGTGTGCCCAGAGCCATTGAGGGAGAGGGGGAAGTTGGTAGAGGTGCAGTCATTGAGGTTGGTGGTGCTTCTGGATTATGAAACCCAGTGGGTCATGACAGGGAGCTGTCACTGACCTCATCTTAGGTCCAGTGGAAAGCCTTAGGAGGGTTTTAACCAGGGGAGTAATAAAATTCAGTATTTATTGAGAGCCTCTCTGTGACTGGTGCTGGAATGGCCATGAGTATGGCAGTGAACAGGATAGAATATTGAGTAGATAGTATTCAGCTTTCAGTGGTAGAAAATCAGAGCATCTTCAATTTAGCTTTGTATGTGTTGGCATGTATTTGTGTCGTATTAGTGACCTACTTAGACATTTCCTTAAGTAACATGGAAGTAAGAAATGTTCTTTATAGAATAAGTAGAAGATTAAACTGAAAGGGAATGCATATCTTTCATGATCTTACCATTTGGAAGTGATGAGTTAACAATTAGTGGTTTTTTCCTTGCTAGTCATTTGAAGATTTATGATGAGATATTTCTCAAGTTCAGTAATGAGTGACCTCCTCACCCCCCAACACCATGAAAGGGAAACGTGAGAATCGTAGGTTTTCTTTTGGCAAGTCAGTCCATGTCTCTTCTGATTAATTCCTTTCAGGTGGAGCTGTTCAGAATAATGTTCAACATCAACCCCCTGGAGAACCTGAAGCTGTACATCAGCAGTCGGCCTCCCCTGGTGGTCTTTATGATTAGTGTAAGCGCCATGGCAATAGCTTTCCTGACCTTGGGCTATTTCTTCAAAATCAAGGAGATTAAGTCACCGGAAATGGCAGAGGTATAGTATATTTTAAGTTTTCTCAGGCTGGCTGGACCTTCTCAAGGGAAATAACCCCTTTGGGCTCTTCACACCCTTTTCTTTGGTTGTAACTTTTTTATCCCAGTGAGAAAGGTCAGTATTCCACCATGAAACCCTTTCAAAGAGTTTCTTACACGAGACCATTGGCTGGCTAATTTCCCCCCATCCCTAACCCTGCCTGAATTTTTAAAGGTTGTGCAAACAGGGTGTACCCGCATTACGTATGAAGTGAACATTCTAGTCACAACCAAAGCTCTGCTGCATCCTGGCATTACTTTCCCTCAGAGCACAAGTCTATGTTGAGCACTCGGCCAAGGCCAGTGGTTAAGATGTAGCCTGAAAAATTAGCCTTTAAATCAAAATGGGGCCTGACATTGGCTTTGGCAGACTGTTCAAAATGGACTGGAGCTCTGTAGGAAAGCATTGCCAGATGCTGTGGAACTTTGGTATGATTAATTTAGTGATTTTATTTTCAAACGAGGATCCTAGGTACATGGGAAAAGTTTGGAGCTGTGAGTCAGAAAACTTAATTCTGATTCTGTCTTCAACTGTAGAATTGAGGAGTCCATAATTTGCACTGAGACTTGGTTTCCTCGTGTCTGGAATATTGAAGGGATGACACTAGAATGTTCATTTTCCGCCCTTAAGTTCTCCAATGGTCTACTGAGTTTGTAGGTGTTAGGGAAAGTGTAATTTGATACATCCAGTTGCAATCTTACTAAATGCCATATACTGATTTACTGATGCTATAGAGATAGACTCACTTGACTGCTTGGGCATTGTTCAAATGGCATTTAATTAAAGCTAGTGTAAGTGTAATTGGAAGTGTAACTTGGTTTGTCTTCATATTTGGCAACTTTTTGTGGATGAAAGTTGCCTGGGAGAATGGCATAGCCTCGGTTAGGTTTGTTGTTGCTGTTTCTGCTAAAATTAAAATAAATCCTGGTGAGTACTTCACTGTGTTGGTGTCAGTTTAACCATGACATAATAAGCGGTCTGTGTTTTTAAAACCGCTTGTGATTTAAACTATTAATGCAAGGTGTAGGTATTAAGAGAAGTCTGAAAGCATCTTTTTTCCCCTCTCTTTGGAAATTGTCCCTGTTCTAAGGTGGCATCCAAAGTCCATGACGAGAAGGAAAAATTCCCACTAGTATTGGTATTTACTGCTTTTCACATTCTTGAGAGAGAAAACAAGGTGTATAGAATTGATCTTTTGCAGAATTATTTTGAGGCAGCCTTATTTTTTTAAAAAACAATAGCTACTGCTAAATGAGTTTGGGTTAGTACTTTTAATGTTTTACTACTTTTGTTCAAGCTGTCTTTTCATGTTTGATTATGAGGCTAATTTTCTGTAAGTATAATACACTTTATTTTCTTACATATTTTCTTGAATAAGTTGACTTAATCCCACAGCTTATTTAATATCTCATGCCAACAAAGAGTTCATATTTTAGGTTATGAATATGAGAGTGGTTTGGAAAACTGCACTATTATGCCAGTGCAAGAGACTGATGACTTCATTGTCACTGTTACTGAAAATGATTGACTCTGAAGTGTGGCGTCCCCTCTGTGTGGTGCCTCCTTAAGGCTCATTGGCTATATGACTGCAGTGGCCGCCCTTTCAGATTGCTCACAATTCTTTCTCTCTGTTTCATTTTACTGGAGGACTGGAATACATTTCTGCTGCGGTTTAATGATTTGGACTTGTGTGTATCAGAGAATGAAACGTTAAAACATCTCACAAATGACACCACAACTCCGGAAAGCACAATGACCAGTGGGCAGACCAGAGTGTCCACCCAGTCCCCACAGGCGCTGGAGGATTCAGGCCCAGTTAACATCTCAGTTGCAATCACCCTCACCCTGGACCCGCTCAAACCTTTTGGAGGTTACTCTCGCAATGTCACCCATCTGTACTCGACCATTTTAGGGCATCAGATTGGACTTTCAGGTATGTGGCTGTTAGCCAGTTTCCTTTTAGACTTTCTCAAGCAACAACTGTTGGAGAACAGAGTACTAGCAGTATATGGTTTTACTCATTAGACTTTTTGATTTTTGCATGTGTCTCCCCTTTGTTGAGTTTGAACTAAATGAAGTCAAGAAGGAACCATTTCTACTACCTCTTTACTTAATAAAGTGCTTGGTACATAGTAGGCTCTCAATAAAAAGCCTATAAGAATGAGAAACTGGGAAGAAACTATAAGGCTTATTTCTGGTCTTAATATTTACAAACACAAAAAAATCTATTCTGGTCTATCATGTTGGTGTTGGCAGTATATACTATAAATATTGCTGTTAGTCTACAAACTTTTGAATGTCTACAAGTAGCTCAGCACTGTGCTAGCTGCTGGAATGAACTAGCATCAGCCTAAGATCTGGTCTCTTCCCTTTGGCATTTTGGGATTATGGAAGAGTCAAGGATAACATGAGTTAATACTTTTTTTTGTTAATCCTCACCTGAGAGTATTTTTTCCATTGCTTTTTAGAGAGAGTGGGAGGGAGGGAAGGTGAGAGAGAGAGAGAGAGAGAGAGAAAAACATCGATGTGAGAGAGATACATCCATTGGTTGCCTCCCACACATGCCCTGACCAGGGCCGGGGATAGAACCTGCAACCCAAGTATATCCCCTTGACTGGGACCTGAACCGGCGACTCTTGGGTGCACAAGCTGACACACTGACCCCTGAGCCACACCAGCCAGGGCACATGAGTTAATATTTGTCAAGCACTTACAGTAGTTCTTGGCACAAAGCAAATGCTATATAAGTGCTTGTTAAATAATAATAAAAGGGAACCCTTATAAAACATTGAGCACTGCCTTTTCACCGGTAGCAAACCCATGACAGACTGTAAGTGATTCAGGACAAGGTAAGAGAGTAGTGGAAGAGCTGCTTCCATGGAGGTAAGATGAGGGCAACTTCTGGGTTTTACGTGTTGCGAATAGACCTTTCTCTTCTGCTCTGGTGTTTGAGTACCTTGGTTTTCATTTAAGCTTCGTCACTTACTGGTCCCTTCACCTTATTTAAGTCTGTTAGACCCTCTGATCCTCAGTATGCTCATATGTAAAAGGGGAGCAGTGACAGTTCTTTGGTCATGTCATGGGATGGTGGTACATTTTAAGTGAAGTAGTAAATATAAAAGCAGTTTTGAAAATGGAAAGATACTGTGCGAATGCTAAAACAGTGGTGATAATAACTTACCCAGCCCCCAGCTTTCCAACTGGGGCACTGCCTGGGCTCTTGCTTGGCGCCTCCAGGCCTGGCTGAAAGTAGTTCCTCTCTACTTGCCTTTTGGTGGCTCTGCCAGGTGAGCAGGCATTAGAGTCTGGCTCAGAACTGGTGTTCCTGAAATCCCACAGGGGTAGGAGTTCTGGGTGGGTTTGATTTTAGGATTCATTCAAATTCCAGAGAATAATAAATATGGATTCTTGTCTTGCTTTACCAGAAAAAGAAAAACCCCCACCCACTTTCTCTTCCATAGGCAGGGAAGCCCACGAAGAGATAAACATTACCTTTACCCTGCCAGCAGCTTGGAGCTCGGACGACTGTGCCCTTCATGGTCACTGTGAGCAGGTGGTGTTCACAGCCTGCATGACCCTCACAGCCAACCCTGGTGTGTTCCCCGTCACTGTGTAAGTGGTTTCCTGAACCCATGGGTGTGTGTGAGAAGCTCCACTGACCGTGAATGTGACTGGGCTGCGTCAGCAGCAGATCCTCAGGATGACTCGCATGGCATCCCTTTACCTGGAACGAAGGAGTTAAGTTCAGTGTGGAATTCTGAAGGAGCACTTCTGCATGTAAATAGCAGAGAGTTAGTTCCTCAGCAAGGTTGGTAGTTGTTGCCTGTTCTTAGGCTGCCTCTCCTGTTGGTAGAAGCAAGAGTGGGTCCCGTGGCCAGAATGACCCATAGTTAAGACTCCCAAAAGATAAAGGTTTTGTTCATGTCCATTATCCAGAAAGAGTTATTTTTTTTAAGTTGAGAGCATAAATCAAACCTTATCCTCCATAAAACAGTCATTGCTTCTGGAACTTAGCTTCACCTGTTTTGAGCAGCCATCAGTATTACTGCTTTGCCTCTACGGGGTTTTTTTTTGCCTCTCCTTTTTCTGTGAAGGAGATAATGATCTATAAATACATGAAATACGCAAGATGTAGCCTATTTAAAAATCCTATGGTGAATCCTTTTTCAGTAAGAATAATTAGTCCGGTATTTATCTATTTTAGACATTTGGAGGTTTGTAGGACAAGATCAGATAAGTTAAACTTGCTATCAGCTGTAATATCTGCTGCTGAAGTTTCTTTGTCAAACTTCCTGTTGTGACTAAGAATCGAGAAAGTTTGAGAAAAGTGGTTTAAAAGGAGCAGATTCTTCTTTGGACACATCATACGCGCGAGGACCATGAGTTGAAATCCGAAGGCAAAACTCTAATAACACCTAAACTATTAAATGTTGAATGCCTGTTTCTTACTCTATTATATGCTTATTAGATTTTTAAAAAAAGGTCCCTGAACTAAAAGCATGGTATTTATCTTGAAGAAACATCTATGTCTTCTATATCTCCTTTCCACCCGATTTGCTGTGGGCAGTCTTGGGCTAGGGGCTGTGCGGAAGACATGGTAAATGTCTCAGGCCCCAAGCATATCTTTCTTTCCCGGTCTTCCCCTGCAGACAGCCACCACACTGTGTTCCGGACACATACAGCAACGCCACGCTCTGGTACAAGATCTTCACGACTGCCAGAGATGCCAACACAAAATATGCTCAAGATTACAATCCGTTCTGGTGTTACAAGGGGGCCATTGGGAAAGTCTATCACGCTTTAAATCCCAAGCTTACAGTTATTGTTCCAGATGTAAGTGAGAAAAATCATGTGTGTTTGTGTGCGTGTCCAGGAACTGTTAGAGTAGGTCGTGTTTACATGCTTGGGTTAGCTTAGCCCTGCTGCTTTAGATTTCCAGCTGAGTTAAAAGACTAGGTAGAGTGGTGGAGACTTGGAAAGACATGCTACCCTTTTGGTTAAGAAAACTGCTCCTGTTCTTTGTTTTGTGCTTGCTCAGTGGCAGTTGTTTATTGTGCAGCTGTTGTGTGCCTGATCCATAGGGGTTACAGGAGATGCTTGTATACAGTCTTATTCATGCACACAGCCACTCACAGGAGCATATTTGGTGAGTGTCAGTATACGTGAGAAGTGGTTCGGAATTCAGAGAGGTAAGAGTAGATAGGAGACAAGTTTTTGGATAGATATTGAGAGCTGAATAAGCTGTTTCTCAAGGAGGGAAGGGGAGAAAGACGCTGTAATCTAGACTAGTGGGTAACAGGCTACTTTAGCTTCTGGCTTCTGCTTACATTTGGGCTCACTTTTATAGGCTGCACTGTTGTTTTTTTTTTATAAATGCCCTCTTCTTCCTGTCAGTATATGTTAGGTGGATTTCTTTCCTTTTTGCCTGGCCCTTTTCTCTTTCCTTAAACCCCTTTTTATCAAGTTGTAGAAGTTGGTAGGCCAGGATCCTGCAGGAGTGAGCAGTGGAGGTCACGTTGCGTGGTGGGCAGGGGCCAGGTTCCAGAAAGCCCTTCGTGCCTCGCTTGAGGCATTTAGATTTTTTCCTCAGAGGAGGCAACTACCACCTGTGTTGGGGCTACAGGGGGATTTGTAAAGCAGTGTGTTAGGCTGATCTGCCCAGCTGATTTGTGTAAATGGGAGGAAGCCTAAGGTGGGTGTTGTGAGGCCTGGAGATGTGGAAAGGAAAAGGAATGGAAGCATGGCGGGGATCTTGCAGCAACTGCCAGCGCCTGGTGATTGATTGCATATGGGAGGTCAATAGCAGTCTTTAGGCAGGGACTTGTAAAAGCGGGGAAGGGCAGAAGGAGAAGGAAGCTGCCTCTGGGGAAAAGTGATGCGGAGGCCTTCCTGGTGGGGGAGGGACAAGGGCTTAGGAACATAGGCTTGGGCTGTCAGCCAGAGGCAGAGGACAGGAGGAAGGGTGGGGCTGCAGGCTCTGGGTCTCCGGCGCCCTCTCGGGAGGAGGCCGGGTGGGGGAGGGAGTGCTGAGGGTGCTGGTGGTGTAGGAGCCAGGGCAGAGGACTGCTTTAGGACGGGGCAGTGGCCTCAGGAGCTGAGATATAGTTCTAGTAGTTTAGAAGACAAGAGGAGAAACTTCTGTTCCAGTTTAAGAATTAAAGTTGAGACGTATCTGGAGGTTATGAACAATGTTTCCAGAAATCCAGCATAAAATATTTCAGTAACTCAGTGCAGATGTCTCTGGTTTATTCTCTTCAGGATGACCGTTCATTAATAAATTTGCATCTCATGCACACCAGTTACTTCCTCTTCGTGATGGTGATAACAATGTTTTGCTACGCGGTTATCAAGGGCAGGCCCAGCAAATTGCGTCAGAGCAGTCCTGAATTTTGTCCTGAGAAGGTAAGCATTGGATAGGGTCTGGCCCAGCATTTGGCTAGAGGTCTCTGTGTACAGAATGTCTCAGTTAGTCCTTACTGCATTGATTGTTGAGTGGCACTTTTCTTCCAGAGAAATTACTTCCTCTGTCTTTTTATCAGAAGTAGTTTACCCTCAGCCTAAATTATGGTGTTGGGTTTTCAACCCAAACCTTAGCTGTAAGAAATACTGACTGTGAATCACTCTCAGATCCCCATTGGAGAGCAGCTACCCCTGAGGGGCTACCTCCCCTCCGTTTCCATCAGCTTCAGAATCATCTCACAGAATGCTGATCAGGGTTTGAAAACAGTTAACTCTCGGTCTCAGCACAGTCGTTCCACTAGATCAGCTGCTTCTGGCAGGGAACTTTTTTTTTTTTTTTAAATCTTTATTGATTTCAGAGAGAGGAAAGGAGAAGGAGAGAGAGAGAGAGAAACATCAATGATGAGAGAGTCATTGATCGAGCCCACAACCCGGGCATGTGCCCTGACCAGGAATCGAACCCCGATCGCCTGGATCCCCAGGTCGATGCTCAACCGCTGAGCCACACCCGGCCGGGCAGGCAGGGAACTTTTAAATTTCTGTTCATTCCCTCCTAGATGAGATTTTTTTCCCCTCAGTGCTTTAATAATTCCCATCCCAAACAGATGGCTGCAGGGTGGCTCCCTGGGCTCGTTGTGTGACTTGATTGCTTGTCTTGCTCTCTTCTAGGTGGCTTTGGCTGATGCTTAATCCCACAACTGCCCGTTTTCTGAGAGAGACTGAGCAAACCGTAAGCATTGCCTGCTGATGCCAGCCTGGGCCTGGACTCTCTGTGAATATATTCTCTTGCAATGTTGGGTTATTCCAGCCAAAGACATTTCAAGTGCCTGTAACTGATTTGTATATATTTATAAAAACCTATTCAGAAATTGGTTCAATGATGCACGTGCTTCACACTGGGCGCAGTCCAAACCCTGCAGCCTCCCCCGTGGACTTGGCGGGATGATCCGCCTAGCGCCAGCGACGATGCCTGATACCTGCCTCAGAGAAGTCCATGCTGTCTTGACCAAGATCTCGGGGGCAGTTCATTGCTGGTGGGGTTGAGGTTTGCTTTGGTTCGAAACAGTCTGCACCTTTGACATGATACTGCATTTCCCAAGCCACCAATCCGTTTTGTGGATTTTACGTGTCTGTGGCTTAATAATCATAGTAACAACAATAATCCCTTTTTCTCTGTTTTGCTTGCAAGGAGACATACGTATCTTTCTAAGTTTTCTTTTTTTCCTTTGGAAAAAAATAGTCACATTTTAATACTACTCTAGTTAAGACAGACTTGTGCTTTCAAAATCTTGAGTAAAAAGTTCAATATTTAAAAGTCACCTACATGGTAATGATCTAAGTTTCATTTTCCACAGGGGTAGTGAGGAACCTGGTCTTGTGGAGTTGAGTTGGCACAGAAAGTTCCACTGTCCTTTTCTCCTTGGTTGTCCCTTCCCTCTGTTATAAAAGTTAAAGCGGCTTCCTCACTCAAAAGGGCTTAAAAATTAAGTAAATGTCTTTAGAGTAGAGCTAATTCTGTCCTGTGTCCTGGAATGCAGATGACACTCTGGAAAGAGAGCATGATGATTTGGTCTAATAGTTGTGAAAGGATTTCTTGTTTTCTTTGAAGAGGGAGTGGTTTTTCTTTCTTCCTTTATTTTTTTAATTTTTTTTTAACATTCATTTCTGTGCAGTTAACATATCCTCAGAAGGAAAATGGCAACTAGTAGATAAGTAACATGAAAATGATGCCTGTGAAATTTGAATGAAAGCAGTTCTGATTTGCCATTTATCAGGAAAACCCAAAGCATTTTTCTTTGTTATAACATGATGATGATCCAGTTCCTTTACCCTTTTTTTCCTTTTAATCCATCTCCATTTAAAAAAAAAAAAAATGTGTGTTATCTTTTCTAGTCCTTTTTTGTTACTTGTATTCTTACTGTTTTTCTTGATAGCTCTTTGCCTCATTGTAATTAATGACTTCTATGTTCTCGCAAGCAGTGCTATAGCAGAAGGGCAGGTGAAACCATGGACATCAGGAATCGGCCCTGCAGTCTGAAATATAGATTGGCCGAGAACATTTCATCCGAAGTGTTCTTGAATGGAAAACAGTTGTGGGCTTTTACTAACAATTGTTAAAATAATCACTGTAGTAACTTGATATGTTAGTATGTTTTTTCCTTTCAGTTCATTTTAAGGATAATAATCATACCTGCCTATCCCTTTATTTGTATGACATGAGTTGCTTCCATGATGCATGGCTAACCTGTTAATTTAGTTTACTGTTTGGGGACTTTGGAGCTCTTAAGAAATAAGATGGAGAAAGAGCCTTTTGGTTTGGACTTTACAAATATCAGTATCATTAAGGTCAACAGATTTTAGGTTAAGCTGCTACTGAATTGATGAAATTAATGGAGTTCTAGGGATAGATTTATAACTTGCAGAGTAATATAAAAGGAGAAAGGTGGGGGAAGTCAATTTCACTGGTTTATTCAATCCAGCTTATTGCTAATATTAATTACCCTTATTTTAATTACAGGGAGTGGCTGGACTATATAGCCAGGGGAGGAAGGATGCTGTTAGATGTGAGGAAAGGAAGTGCCAAAAATGCCTGGACAGTATGGCTTGTCACGAGGCCAGGACACACACTTTAAAGTCTAGCATTTACCCTAGAAGGTAATTCTCAAAAGATCTTGTGGAAAACCAGAGTTAACCAGGTGTATAAAGGAAGGCTGGGCAGAGGGGAGGCTGTGTGCCTGGCTGTGTAGGAGGCCTAGTAACTGAAGAGACTTCCACTGGATCTCAGGAAGTCCAGGGGACCTGGTGCAGTGGGGGCACTTGCAGACAAGGCCTGGTTCTCTGCAGGGCCTTGCTGGGGGCCCTCAAGGTTAGAAGAGTGTCACAGGCAGGCCCATTTGCCATTCAGGGTGACCCCGCACAGGAGCACTGGCTCGTCCTCAGGCATCTTGGACTGGAGGTCCAATAAAAGGTCAGCAACTTACTCTTAAAGTGGTTGTTTCAGATCATATTGATCTCTTTCCTTTTTCCTTTGGTCCTTTCACTGTATGACTTGAATCAGTTTTGATTCTATTTGTAAGTTTTTCTCATCATTAGGAACCTGCTGTTTCTGTTGCATTTTCTTTGGCAGTCTAGGGATTCAACATCCTGGTTTTTCAACCCTCCTGCAGGCACTGTGGGGTTACGAGGGCCAGCGGATCCACTTCACTTCTCTTGCTGCATGATGGTCAGTAGCTGATCTGTTATGGCATTCACTCCCAGATTAATTTTCCATGTTTGAAATGTGTGCATATGTGCTTTACTGAATAAAACATCTGAATTTATTTGCTGTGTCTGCATTTCATTCCGTCGGGTGTTTTCTGAGGGAAGAGTATATGTAATAAGTAATTGAGGGTTTTTTGCAAGTAGTTTTTTCAGAGTGTCACCTATCAGAATGAGGAGCGGGCAGTGTTTACTACTAAGCTGGCCTCTCCAGGCACATGGGTCTTCCCCCTGAGAGCATGAGACCTCTTTTAGTGTTGGACCAACCAGTGCTTGCAGACCTGACCCAGATCCTGCCCAGAAGAAGTAAGTGATACAGGCCAGTAGGGAAGGTTTGAATAGGTGTGGGAGTACAGACACCTTCTCAGTTACATAAACCCTCCGTGTGCTCCTGCCTGAGTCCAGAAGCAGACTCCTCGCTGGCTGCCTTCTGTTACAGAGCTCCCGCATGTGCTGGACTTTCTTTCCTGGGACACTGCATCCTCTACACTTACTTGTAGAGTTATTTGTAAAGGAAGGTCATGTTCACTAATGTGAATTATTTTTCCAATGGGCAGAGGCTCTGTGGACTTCCCTCACTCCCCAGCAGGTGCCAGGGTCGCAGAGGTCAGTCTCAAGGCACTCTGAGGGTCCAGACAGCGCTGAGGAACACGACACCTCCACGGGCTCTTTGTTTCTGCTGCTTCACCCCTTCCTGCCTTTTTGCTAATGGGTCCAACACGATCCTCACAGCACTTGGTGCCATTCACTGCTCTCCCCTTGTACCCAGATGAGTGCGCTGTTTCACCACCACAGTGCAGAGCCCTTGGCAACAAAGAGCTCACATCTTCCTTCTGCCCAGTCTGAAAATCTGGCACTAATTTCTCAAGTCAAGTTAGAGGTAGTGCTTTAAAAAGGTTTCATTTTCCTGGTGAGTGCATGATGCTTGAAGTTCCTCGGACACAAAGACAAGTCAGGAATACAGAAAAAGAAGAAGGCATGCACAGACCAGAAGCACTCTGTGGAGTCCAGTCAAGCTCACTGTGAACTGTCTCAAAGAAACCTTTCTCTGCCCATCGGTGAGAGCCCTTTTTTTCACATCTGAAGACCCCAAACTCCATATACTGTGCTAGTTGTTGATTATGGGTGAACTAGAAGGGTCTGACCACTGCAAGAATAGATGGCAAGTCAGCTGTGTTATATCTAAGGGAAGAGAAGGGATTGAGTTTTGCCTTTATATTCAGCCTCTTCCCTCCAAACTGACTCAGTATGTAATCTGTTGGCAGACGAGATAAGGGAGTTACTAGGATAGAGAATGATGATCACTGTGCCCCAGTTGGGGTGATTGCAGAAGGCATCTTGGAAGAGGTGCGATTTGAAGGCACATGCAAAAAGGGGAATTTTGGACCTGGCGTTCCATGCGGAGGGCATAGCTGTGGCCCTGGTGCACGGAGACAACTCCAGGGGCCCTGGCTTAGTGCTGGGTGGAGAATGGGAGCCCTGTGAGGACTGACCTCCCCACCGGAGGACAAGACTCCTCCAGGCTGCCACACCCCATGAGGGTGGTCTGCCAGGGGCCATGCAGGGAGATGCTGTACCAGCATCTGGCCCAGGAAGGGAGTTCCCTAAAGTGCAGCTCAGCCATGGCAGGCACGAGCCCCGCTCTGAGGGGCTTAACCTCTCTGTGCCCCAGCTGCCTCATCTATAAAATAAAGGTAATTATTTTACCTTGAATACAGTGAGGATACAGCAAGTTAATTACTACAAAGTGATTGGAACAGCAGCTAGCACTCTGTAAAGTTTATTAAAATGAGACGGTGGGGGGAGGTGTCCAGGAGTGAAACTAGTTAGTGGGCCACCTCTGGTTACCTTGTGGTGGATGGGAACTAACAAAGCAAAGAGAGTCTCCCCCAGCTTCAGCCTTCCATTGACAGTGGTCCTGCCTGTGCCGTGGATCCACAGCACTCACTGAGTGTGAGAACTGATGCCTGAAAGGATGTTTATATAAGTTTTATGAAATAATAATCACCCTGCATATGATGCACACTAATATTCTAAAATTTTAGTCTTTCAATTTAATTAAAAAACTGGGCTTGACGTCTAAATTGATTGCACTGCCAACTACTGGCAGGCAGCCTGCAATTTCAAAAACACTGATAAAGATAATTTATGGAGCCCTTCCAGCTGAGCGATTTCTGAGACGAAACTCCAGGATTCTAGCTGTCAAGAATTAGTTTTGTAATTTTGAGCAAGTTATGGTCTCTCCAGTCTCAGAACTGTGGTGCTGGACATCTTGAAATCACATTGACCAGACCATTTTAAAGATGAGGAAGCCATTAATCAAGAACAAGAAACGATACTCCTAGTTAAAACCTGTGTGTCTTTAAATGCTTTTGCCATCCAACAGTTCATCGCTCCCCGGCCCCTTCTTCTCCAGCCCGGCTCTCAGGTCGCATCCCAGATCTGGAAATCCCTCTCAGAGGTGCCTGACTCTTGGTCCTTTTGTACCTGTCCTTCAACCAAGTCTTGGAGTCTACCTCAGGCCGCGTCCATGACCATGTGACTGGTTCATATACCACACCTACGGAGAAGCTAAGAAGTCCACCTCTCTTTGGCCCGGGGATTCCCACTGGGCACACTGGATGGGCCCCGCGGTGGCCTGCTCCCTGGAATGGAACCGTCCCTTTTCCTCTGGCCGCTTTCCTGCTCCAGGACTGCCCAGGGGCCGCTAGTGCTGGGGCAGCCGCAGGCCAGCAGAGAGCGCACACGGGCAGAATCCAAGGCACACTCAGGGCCTCGGGCCCGTGGGCCTTCTCCAGTTCCTTGTGCTCAACCTTATCAGGTTCACCTTCTTTTAATAAATCCTACTGTCCTGAAGAGAGAGAGAACATCATCTACCAACATGTAATTTATGAAAAATACAGGACTAGCTGAAAAATAAAGAATAAGAGGAAAGCAACTTAATAAACTCATGTATTTCAGTAAGTAAAGGCCTGGGCACAGCTACCCTGGAAGTGACGGCGACCGGGTTAGATGCTTGTACCTGCCCGAGGATTGCTGGGCACAGGGCAGCTGCGCACGCAGTGTGACAGGTGAGGTGCCGCACGAGCCACTCAGGCCCCTGAGACGGGGCTGCTGGAGGTGTGATTTTGTTGTTCCCCAACAAAACAAAGTACGCGCTTCCCTCAGTTGAGTTGCATTTCTAGAAACTACAGTGTATGTGTAATAAATATTTGTGCAAAATAACGTTAGGTTCCAGGCCCAAGTGATTATGAAGATTTCCCACCTCCACGTGAATGTTGGATAAGACACTGGAAGCCATGTGAAATGTGACACATCTATGACTGTTGGGCCTCCGCATCCAGGGAGTGTTCCCTTCTTACTGTGATAACCAAGAGCATTCCCTAAATTTCCAAAGTGTCCCCTAGGGGTGGCGTCACTTAGTTGAAAACTGGGGCTCTATGCATTGTGCCCCAGACTGAGATTCCTGATGCCTCACCTTTTGGCTTCCAAGCAACCCTGAGTGCTTAGAGCAGCTGTCATTTCCCCAACACCTACCGAGCAAGTCCACCAGCCTATGACCTGTGCCTCTTCCTCTCCAGTTTCCCTGACTGTGGGCCACACCTCAAGGTGATGCTGGGGCCTTGCCCCTAATGCTGCAGGAGGAAGCGGGGTTGGTCCAGGAGGACAGTCCTTGCTTTGCCTACTGCCGCAGTGATGTCCATTTGGTACTCAGTGGAAGCCCAGGTTCCACCCAGGCAGGCGTTGGGGCAGGGAGACAAGTGGTGCACTTTCTACCCTTTGTCCTGCACGCATTCCCCCTCCACCCTCCACCCCAAAGCACAGAATGCCATGGGAGCTAGAAAAGGGAGTAACCGATTTTACGCACAATCATACATTTTCGCCATACCCAGATACTGAACAATAATAGCCTGCAGCTTTGGGGTGTAAGCAATTTACTCGTAAAGTTGCTGGTGCAACAGAAACACTGCGTACTGGACTGGGCGGGTGGCTTGTGTTGGGTGATTCATGGGGTGGATGTAGTATGAACTGGAAAGAAGCCAAAAATACACAGTGGAAGACCAAGAGTTTGGCCAGAAGTATGCAGTATGTGAAGAGTGTGGGCTATGCAACTTTTGGTGATTGCGAAGTTATTTTGGCTTGGGTTGGACTCTGAAAAAAATGGAACATGTTAAAAGCTTAAGCAAGGCAAGCAAAGCAAAAATAAAATAAATATCCTTGAGGTGTTCTGCCCAGAATCTGAAAGTCTTGGCAACAAATGAATGAAGCAACATGCACATATGTGGATGTGGGTGGGTTTTAGATGGTAATGCAAATTAAAACCACAAGTTATCACTACACACCTATTAGAATTGCTAAAAAAACAGTGTCAACATCAACTGGTGAGAACTCAGAGAAATGGAATTACTTATACATTGCTGAAGGGAATGTAAAATAGCAAACCCACTCTGGAAAACTGGAGCTGCTTATAAAACTAAGCATATCTACCATACTTCCCAGAAGTTGTACTTTTGGGAGTTTATCCCAGAGAAATTAAAAATGTATGTTCACAAAAAACCTGTGCATAAATGTTCATAGTAGCTTTATTCATAAAAACAAAAAACTGGAAATAACCCCAGATGTTCTTCAATGGGTGAATGGTTAAACAGATTGTGTGTCTTAGCCTTTTGGGGCGCCTCTAACAAATTACCATAGAATGAGTGGCTTATAAACAGTAGATTTTGGCCATAAGCCTGGCACTAACGGCGGCCAGACTCCTTTCGCAGTGTAGCCTCTCCCAGGCACCTCCAATCCAGAGCAATCTGCAGGTTACTTTGTAGCTCGGACCAGGTGGCCCCAGGCTGGGCACAGGAAGTGGCTGACCTTGGCTTTCACCGGAGCCTGCCTCTCTCATGGCCCCAGAACCAACACACAAGAAACAAGAACAATCTCAAACAATTTAACTCTGTATCTAAAGGAACTAGAAAAAGGACAAACAAAATGCAAAATACACAGAAAAAAGGAAATAAGACCAGAAATTTAAAAAAAAAGATCAATAAAACTAAGAGTTTGTTCTTTGAAA